CAACCATTGACTGTCACAGAAATTCTCAGAACCCTAATGCAGTTGCTGCTCCACACAGGCATTGTTCTTTCCTTTTTCCACCTTCTACATCATGATGCTGAAATCTGAGGAAAAGAACAGTATGCCTGGGAGTGGATGCTGGCCTTTACTACAAAGGACCTAAAGTCAATGAAGAAAAGAAAGACCTGCTTGAGACCTGCCAATTCCTAACACTTCAGTGCTCTGCAATTGGCTATCATTTCTGAGGTAATGTCTCCCTGTGTTAACGTGCTCTCCATTTACTATTCCCAAGATAGGATTGCCTCTGTCACAGAACATTTCAAGAACCCTAATTCACTTGCTCCTTCAGACAGGCATTGTCGTTTCCATCTTCCATCTTCTACATCATGACAGTGAAATCTGAGGAAAAGAACACCAAGACTGGGAGTGGAAGCTGGCCTGTACTGTGAATACTCTAAAGTCATGGGGCCCTGAAAACGAGTGAAGGACCCCTGTAAGACATACAATTCCCAACAGTTCATTGCTGCAAAAATGCCTTTCAGTTCAGAGGTAATCCTTCTCTCCTAACATGCTCTCCATTTAGTGTACCCAAGACAGCCATTGCCTCTGTCACAGAACATTTCAAGAACCTTAATCCAGTTACTGCTTCAGACAGGCATTGTTATTTCCTTCTTCCAACTTCTACATTATGACAGTAAACTCTGAGGAATAGAATACCTCCACTGGAAGTGGAAGCTTCCTGAACTATGATTGCCCTAAAATCATGGAACACTGAAAAAGAAAGAAAGATCCACTTGAGACATGCAAATTCCTAACAGATTAGTGCTCCATAAGTGGCTTTCAGTTCAGAGGTAATCCATCTCTCCTGATACACTCTCCATTTAATGTGCCCAAGACAGCCATTGCCTCTGTCAGAGAACATTTCAAGAACCCTAATCCAGTTGCTGCTTCAGAAGTCATTGTGTGGATTTCACCTTCCATCTTCTACAGTATGACTGTAAAATCTGATGAAAAGATTTCCACACCTTGTCGTTGAAGCCCTCCTTTACTATGAATGCCATAAAGTTATGCGACCCGGAAATCAAAAGACCTGCTTAAGACATGTAATATTCTAACAGTTCAGTGCTCCATCAATGGCTTTCACTTCAGAGGTAATCCATCTCTCCTAACTTGATCTCCCTTTAATGTGCCCCAGACAGCCATTGCCTCTGTCACAGAACATTTCTAGAACCCTACTGCAGTTTGTACTTCACACAGGCATTGTTGTTTCCATCTTCCATCTTCTACATCATGACAGTAAAATCGGAGAAAAAGAACACCACACCTGGGAGTGGGAGCTGGCCTGTACTATGAATGCCCTAAACTCATGGGACACCAAAAAACAAAGAAAGATAGACCCATTTGAGACCTGCAAATTTCTAACACTACAGTGCTCCATCAATGGCTTTCAGTTCAGGGGTAATCCATCTCTTTTCACATACTCTTCATGGGATGTGCCCAAGACAGCCATTGCCTCTGTCACAAAACATTTCAAGAACCTTAATCCAGTTGCTGCTTCACACAGGCATTGTTGTTTCCGTCTTCCATCTTATACATCATGACTGTAAAATCTGAGGAAAAGAACACCATGCCTGTGAGTGGAAGCCTCCCATACTATGAAGGCTCTAAATGCATGGTACACTGAAAAAGAAAGACCCAGTTGAGACATGCAAATTCCTAACAGGTCAGTGCTCCCTATGTGGCTTTCAATTGAGAGGTGATCCATCTCTCCTGATACACTCTTCATTTAATGTGCTCAAGAGAGCCATTGCCTCTGTCACAGAACATTTGAAGAACTCTAATCCAGTTACTACTTCAAAAGTCATTGTCCTTTCCACCTTCCATCTTCTCAATCATGACCTGAAAATCTGAGGAATAGAACACAATGCCTGGGAGTGAAAGCTGAACATTAGAATGAAAGACCCAAAAGTCATGGGACCATGAAAAAGAAAGAATGACTCATTTGAGACCTGAACATACCTAACAGTTCAATGCTCCATCAATGCCTTTCAGTTTACAGTTTATATGTCTCTCCTAACATGCTTTCCATTTCAAGTTCCCAAGATAACCATTGCCTCTGTCACAGAAGATTTCAAGAACACTAACCCAGCTGCTGCTTCAAACAGTCATTGTCATTTCCATCTTGCATCTTCTAGAGCATGACAGTGAAATTTCGGAGAAAATACTCCAAACCTGGGAGTGCATGCTGGCCTGTACTCTGAATGCCCTGAAGTCATGGAACCCCCAGAAGAAAGAAAGACCCATTGGAGACCTGTCAATTCCTAACAGTACAGTGCACCTTCATTGGCTGTCACTTCTGAGGTCATATATCTCTACTAAATGCTCTTCACTTAATGTTTCCAAGACAACCATTGACTGTCACAGAACTTTTCAGAAGCCTAATGCAGTTGCTGCTCCACATAGGCATTGTCCTTTCCTTCTTCCACCTTCTACATCATGACGCTGAAATCTGAGGAAGAGAACACCATGCCTGGGAGTGGATGCTGGCCTTTACTATGAAAGACCTAAAGTCAGAGAAGAAAAGAAAGACCTGCTTGAAACCTGCCAATTCCTAACACTTCAGTGCTCTGTAATTGGCTATCACTTCTGAGGTAATTTCTCTCTGTGTTAACGTGCTCTCCATTTACTATTCCCAAGATAGGATTGCCTCTGTCACAGAACATTTCAAGAACCCTAATTCACTTGCTCCTTCAGACAGGCATTGTCGTTTCCATCTTCCATCTTCTACATCATGACAGTGAAATCTGAGGAAAATAACACCAAGCCTGGGAGTGGAAGCTGGCCTGTACTGTGAATGCCCTAAACTCATGAGACCCTGAGAAAGAGTGGAGGACCCCTGTGAGACATACAATTCCCAACAGTTCATTGCTGCCAAAATGGCTTTCAGTTCAGAGGTAATCCTTCTCTCCTAACATGCTCTCCATTTAATGTGCCCCAAATGGCCATTGCCTCTGTCACAGAACATTTCAAGAACCCTAATCCAGTTGCTGCTTCACACAGGCATTGTTATTCCTTCTTCCAACTTCTACATTATGATAGTAAACTCTGAAGAATACAATACCTCCACTGGGAGTGTAAGCTTCCCAAACTATGATTGCCCTAAAATCATGGAACACTGAAAAAGAAAGAAAGATCCACTTGAGACATGAAAATTCCTAACAGATCAGTGCTCCATAAGTGGCTTTCAGTTCAGAGGTAATCCATCTCTCCTGATACACTCTTCATTTAATGTGCTCAAGAGAGCCATTGCCTCTGTCACAGAAAATTTGAAGAACCCTAATCCAGTTGCTGCTTCAGAAGTCATTGTGTGGATTCCACCTTCCATCTTCTACATCATGACCTGAAAATCTGTGGATAGAACACCATGCCTGAAAGTTAAACCTGAACATTAGTATGAAAGATCCAAAAGTCATGGGACCATGAAAAAGAAAGAATGACTCATTTGAGACCTGAACGTACCTAACAGTTCAGTGCTCCATCAATGCCTTTCAGTTTACAGTTTATATGTCTCTCCTAACATGCTTTCCATTTCAAGTTCCCAAGATAGCCATTGCCTCTGTCACAGAAGATTTCAAGAACACTAACCAAGCTGCTGCTTCAAACAGTCATTGTCATTTTCATCTTCCATCTTCTAGAGCATGACAGTAAATTTGGGGGAAAATACCCCAAACCTGGGAGTGCATGCTGGCCTGTACTCTGAATGCCCTGAAGTCATGGAACCCGCAGAAGAAAGAAAGACCCATTGGAGACCTGTCAATTCCTAACAGTACAGTGCACCTTCATTGGCTGTCACTTCTGAGGTCATACATCTCTACTAACATGCTCTTCATTTAATGTTTCCAAGACAACCATTGACTGTCACAGAACTTTTCAGAACCCTAATGCAGTTGATGCTCCACACAGGCATTGTCCTTTCCTTCTTCCATCTTCTACATCATGACTCTGAAATCTGAGAAAAAGAACACCATGCCTGGGAGTGGATGCTGGCCTTTACTATGAATGACCAAAGTCAGAGAAGAAAAGAAAGACCTACTTGAGACCTGAAAATTCCTAACATTCAGTGCTCTGTAATTGGGTATCACTTCTAAGGTAATCTATCTCTCTTAACATGCTCTCCATTTACTGTTCCCAAGATAGCATTGCCTTTGTCATAGAACATTTCAAGAACCCTAATTCACTTGCTCCTTCAGACAGGCAATGTTGTTTCCATCTTGCGTCTTCTACATCATGACAGTGAAATCTGAGGAAAAGAACACAAGCCTGGGAGTGGAAGCTGGCCTGTACTGTGAATGCCCTAAACTCATGAGACCCTGACAAAAAGTGAAGGACCCCGGTAATACATACAATTCCGAAAAGTTCATTGCTGCAAAAATGCCTTTCAGTTTAGAGGTAATCCTTCTCTCTTAATATGCTCTCATTTACTATTCCCAAGACAGCCATTGCCTCTGTCACAGAACATTTCAAGAACCCCAATCTATAACACATGGTGTGCATGTGACCTTCAGCGAAGTTTCTTACTCAATGTATTTTGAGTGATCCTTTCACAAGTGTACCTGTCTCCCTTGAATTTGTTAGGAACACAATAGTGCATTTTAATGGTATGTTCTTTCTGATTGACACAATCTCTATTCACACACATTCATACCATTTTCATGACGACAGCCAAGCACTGTGATGATTTGGTAGCCATATTTTAATCTTTAGGTGACATAGCATACAAGCTTTCTATCATTTTGTTGTGAATTCTTATATTTGAACATTAAATAGTACTTATAATTGTATTTTTTGTTCCATCAATCATAAACACTCATTTTTTATTCTCTGCTTTATAACATACGGATATTAGTACTTTTGACTCTTCCTCTGAGTTCTTCCTCTGAGAGAGAGAGAGAATTATTTAATTTTTAGTTCTCAGTGGACACAACATCTTTGTATTTTTTTTTTTTAATGTGGTGCTGAGGATCTAACCCAGGCCACACACATGTCAGGTGAGCATGCTACCACTTGAGCCACAGCCCCAGCCCCCTGTGAGTTCTTTCAACTTCTGTTATTTTTATTTTATTTGTTACATTGTCAAGATTGGACAATTATCTAGTATATATTACATGGAAAAGGAAATCCATTAAATCTTAAATTAAGAATATTTCCATTCTGCATATGTCATGATGGTAAAAAAAAATAGACCAACAAAGTTTCATGCATAATAACGATAGTCTTTCAGAACAGGAACACTTCATCACTAAAAATCTCCTGTCAAGAAACCTCAGAATATTCAATAAGAGATGAACACTGACACTGAGGCCAATCAGGTCAATCAAGTCAAGACAGCCAATCTTATTGGCTACCCATGTCAGGTAGGTGGTCTGACCTTATTTTCTATTAAACTCATGTTTCCACTGACTTCTTTGTGTACACACAGGTGTTCATGCTCTGCCTACGTGAATTTATTCAGACAACATGCAATTCAGGTGTTGCTTGCTTCTTTAATCTTGTAAATGAGGAAAACTACTCACGATACTTATGATACTATGATTTTGTAATTCCATTTCACTGAGTAGTGTCTTTTTTCTCCCTTTCTTTTCTTTCCCTTTTGGTACTGGAGATTGATCCCAGGTGTGATTTACCACTG